TCTCAAGCTATGTACTCTTATAGCATGTGATGTTCTGAAAACCTCGAAAAGTTGAACTGAAATTCGCTGAGATAAACTCTATTTTTTCCTTCCATCTAATATAAACTCTACCCAAGGGCAACATTTTATTAAATTTTGATACTCTGATACCCTTTAGCCCACTCGCAAAGGAAATAAACGTAACATTTCACTAACCACCCTTTATTAGCACAAACCTGTAAGATAATAAAGAAATGACCCCAGTTCGAATTCTTTACCGTTTTTTCCCTCAAATTCGATACATTTTTTACGCTAGAGATTGCTGGTTTGCCTAAACAACAGACAGAAAATGTTCATAAATTATATTTAGCAAATCCACGACTAACCATACAAGGGTGTTTAAAAATATAGATTTTGCTCTACCCTGCTCAATTGATTACAATTTTTGAGTATTCTCCAGAAATTTGAACCCATTTGGTTGCGATCTCATACTGCTCTTTAATTTTTATAAGGAAATTATTACGAGAAAATTTAGAAAGTTCTATCAAAAAGTAGTCTCCAAATTTTACATAAGAAAAGATAGTAGGCATACCCGTATATCATTTTGGAAAAAGGCTAAAACGAAGAAAATAAATCAAAATCTTTTTTTTTTCCTTGTAATTGCCATATAAACCTCGAAGAGCTATTGTAGTATGAAATTACAAACCAGTCAGGTCAAACTCAAACGCAAAAGAATAATCTGGACGGACCTGCTTTGGTGGAGGTGGAGCAAAATCTGCAAAATCATTGCAGGGGTTTCTTTCCAAACACTTCTATGGCCACTAGAGGCCCTACGGGCACCAACTCCGGGACAATCCATCGGATGATCACAAAATTATGATAAACAGTCTCCTGCTGTAAATTCATGAATTTTGATACCCATATTGTAGCGGTTTCTTCCCAAACACTTCTATGGCCACTAGAGGCCCTACGGGAACCTGCGCCGGAATGGCCGTTCCGGGGAGAAACCTTAAACTGGTCCTCAAGTAAGCTGAAATTGTTTCTTGAAGGAGATTCTACTTTGATATCGATTCCTTCAAAATTCTAGCAAAAGGCAAGAAAATGCTTAGTTCTGAAACAATCCGGATTTCTTAGAACCAGACTATTCCAAATGGACATTGTTGGCAATGTCCAGAAAGAACACAAATTTCTGAATCCTATGGTGCCAAAAGATTCAAAATCGGTCAAATTTGGCCGTAATAGCAACCAGAGACTTTAAATATTAAAAATTAGATCGATTTGTTTGAAAACAGCCGAGTTATAGCGGTGAATATAAAATATTTCCTACCGCGTCTATCGAGAGACTCGTACAGCATAGCTCACCATTGGAAAAGAGAAATGAAAACAAAATACGCAGCATACTCCCGGTCATTCTGCAGCTTCAACTTTCAACATGCACGATAAGCGGGAGAATGAATGAATTGAAAAATCGGCTTCCACCGAGCTGCTGCAGCAAACAGCACACAAGCAATCGACAAAAGGCAGAACGACTGCGCCATTTTGCCAGTCAAACCAACGTGCTTGCTTTGCACATTGAATGCAGAAAACGTACGCGATCACGCAGTCACAGTCGATATGCGATCCCCTTTCAAGCCCTGGATAAAGCCACTGATTTGACTGTGGGTTTTTTTTGGACAAACCTGAAGAGTCCTGCCCGCTGAAAGGGCGATTGGATTCAGGAGCCGGGTACGGGATGCTGTTAGCGGACAATTCTCACGTCAATTTTCAAGTCAACAAATCTACATTGATTGATTTTCTTCATCGAATATCTCTTTCTTAAATAACTTGGCTACAAAAACGTTTCCTGTAGTCTTTGTCGTTTTAAAAGCTAGTTTTTTGCTTCTTCCATCGAAATGTTATTTTTTATGCAAATGACATTTGTTGTGTAAGTGTGTGTGTGTGAAAGCGGAGAGAGCCAGATTTTGTTTTGGCTGCGTACTTGTTGAAAATCTCGGATTTTCTTTAATACCCCGAAATTGGGGTATTAAAGTGAAATCCGAGATTTAAATGGAGGATAATACGCCATGGTGTTTAGCAAAATCGAGGATAGTACGAGATTGACGTATTTTCCTCGATGGAGCTTACCCCTATAAATGTCCCTTCTCAAGCCAATTGTCACCATTTTAGATCTCAAAATGGTGGCAGACGTCGATTTTGGGCCTATGCACGGCGTCCGCAGTAATAGTATACGTTAAAGCAAAGGCCGCCATCTTGGGTCTCAAAACTGCGTCTGGCATCGATATTTGATCTCTACACGTCGTTCCCTTTCCGAAACTACCCATATTGTGGTATTTGACAGTTTTTATTGAACCGATGGCCACCAGCTTTGATTGCAAAATGACGGCTTGTATCGATATCCAGCCTCTACACGTCATCCCCTATCCGGAAATACCCATATTGTAGGGTATTTGACATTTTTCTTGAACCGATGGCCTCCATCTTGAATTTCAAAATGGCATCTGGCATCGATTTCCGGCCTCTATACGTCGGATATTTTTGGTCGTTATTGAAAATTTAGTCGATTGCTGAATGTATTTATGGGCCCAAATTAGGGACATTTAGGCCAACATTACACATATTTTCCCTATATTGTATATTTCAAATCAAAAATATTGTTTATGTTCATAGAGGTTACATAATCCTTTTCCTTTTGTCCTTCTCCTTTTCCTTTCCCTCTTCTCTTTCCAGAAAGCGAGTAATGGCGCTATAGCCATAAGCCATAAAAGGCTAGGACAAGAGTTAGTGCTCATGTCCCAACCTTCAGAAGAAAATGGAGCATCTCTTAACCTTTCTAGCTTTGATGCTTCCAACAACCAACCAATCATATAATTACCAAAATCGGAACGTACGGTACGAGATGTCCACGTTTCATCCATTTATTGAATTCTGAAGCATCGTGTTTAAATCTTCGATTTAAACAGGCCCGATGTTTTCTGAATCATCTTGCCCCTTAAATACTGCACAGTAGGCCTGGCCTTTTTAATATGTGTGACGGATCTTCGATGTGAAACATATATCAACTAGACAAGAAAAATTATGGAGGTATATCCATCATTTTCCAGGATGATTCCAAGAACTGGCTGTGTTGGTGTTAGATTAGATTAGATTAGACACGTCGTCCCCTTTCCGGAAATATCCATATTGTTGGCTATCGGACCGTTTTTCTTGAACCGATGGCCGCCTTCTTGGTTTCAAAAATGGCGTCTGGCATCGATTTCCATCTTGTACACGTCATCCCCTCTCCGAAAATACCCTATATATATATATATAGTATATGACAGTTTTTCTGGAACTGATGGCCGCCATAATGGATTTCAAAATGGCGTCTGACATCGATTGCCGGCCTCTACACGTCGTTCCCTTTCCGGAAATACCCTTTTTGTACGGTATTTGACAGTTTTTCTTGAATCGATGACCGCCATCTTGGATTTTAAAATGGCGTCCAATATCGATTTTCAGCCTCTCTACACGTCATTCCTATTCCGTTTCCTGTCCTCACATTGCACAGCAAAATCTTAAATGGACAAGCTTTCTAAACATAACATATTAAGAAAGTTAATGTGCACACTTGCGCCGCGTAGTGAGACAGTTCTAAAATAATATGACCACCATCCGAAAGGACTTGGTCACCTGAACAACTTTGCTGGAGAAAGCAACTTTCTATATGGCCAGGTTCTCGAGATACAGTTTATATAGGAAGTTCACATGCACACTAACACTGCGTAATGAGAGAGTTTTGAACTAATATGAACACCATACAAAAGGACATGATCACCTGGACAGCTTGGCTGAAGACAGTAACCTTCTATATGGCAAGGATTTTGAGATACAGCTTATATACGAAGCTCATGTGCACACTAGCGCTGCGTTGTGAGAGAGTTCTGAACTAACATGGCCACCATAAGAAAGGACTTGATGTCTTGAACAAATTTGCTCAAGACAACAATTTTCTATATGGCCAGAATCACGAAATATTCTATGTTAGACCTAAGATCCATTTATTACAGCGCCCGTCATAAGTAACATGAAAGGATGAAAGTGAAGCGCCTCTAGCGGCCTGAATTCAATGACACAGGGTTGTTGGTCTATCCCAGTACTACAACTTTGTCCAAGACAGTATAGCTCTATATATTGAAACAAATGAAATAATCCACCACAAATGTGAAAATCCTATAAGCTGTGCACACTTAGAAATTATTATTTTTACACGAGACGTAATTCAGCTTTGACGTAAAACATGGAACGAAAACAAACATGGCATGTAAAATTAAGTGTCCTGAAACTGAAACATATGCAACTCGACGAAACATGTGTTTGATTGAATTGATTTTCTCGTCCTTTTCAACTGATTCTTATGTCAAAAGGGCCGCTTGCATGTGTCGGTCTCAGGGCACTTAAATTTAAATGTCTTTTCGTAGTGTGTGGGTATCCTTATTCGCGGATAGCCCGGCAATAAGGGAGACCGGCAATAAGGAATCCGCCAATGATGATTCCTGACTGTATATCATACAACAATCAACTTGAACCCACATCTCACAACGAAACATCTAGCTTTAAGTCATGATACGGTCCAAACAAGAGCTCTTCCACGTAACGACTCCCATTTCCTCTAGTCTCGAATGCATTTATCCTGTAATACTCGTTCTGCATTCCTACCATGTTAAGATTCTATTCATGTCATGGGCAATAGAATACAAGTTCCCAAATCCGCCACCGAAAAAAGGCAACCACAACAAAAAAGAATCAAAGCGCACCAGACGGAACGAATGACTATGGTCGCTTGGGGGCCGTATGTTTCTGTCCAATGTTGTAGGAGCAAAAAAGGACGTCAATATCCTCTGACGCTGAGTGTATGCGTCCGTTGCACGCACCACAAAGCTCTGTACATCATCCGGAATTTAGCAGGAACCGGCGTAGGTACAAGGGTATGCAATGCAGGCAGCCCCGAAATCGATTCGTTTCTTTCTGAAATGTGGACTTACCGTGTATTGTAGTAGTTGGACTTGTAGTACGGTGGATGTGAATCGAAGACATAGTTCAATATGGGACCGGTGCTTTTGAGCAGCTTCCGGTGCTCGTCGACCGGCTTCACCACCATCGCCGGTGTGGTCGGATTCAGGTTCATCGAATTGATCGTTCGATGTCGTTGCTGTTGTTGAGCTGGTGGTGACGGTGGTGGCACTTTTTCCAACTGTGGCTGATGCTGATGCTGAGGTGCTGGAACGCTTGGGGGCAGCCTCGTACCTGCGTGGTGTTCGTCTTCTGCTCCTTCGTCGTCTTCGTCGTTTTGGTGGTTGTTGGGAGACGGGCTTGTCTGACTAGTCGGTACGGTTGGTGCTGCTGATGTTATGGAACCTTGTGGCCGCAGACTTCGTTGTGTTGATGGATTTGTGTTCATTTCCAAATCCGTTGTGTGCAATGGATTATCGTTGTCGCTCAAGGACGGTGACATGGCTGCCCCTGCTGTGAAGAGAGATGGGAAATTTCTACCGTTAGTGGCGTTTGGCAAATGGCATGTATTCGGAACAACAGGGATTAAACGAATCTGATAGGAATCTTGCGTGGCATATGAAGGTTTTTCAGTGAAACAAATTCGACCGGTTGAATCATTCTTTCCAGGGCACACGGCATAATAAACGTAATCATTTCCGACAGCATTCACCCAAATTATGTAAAATTTCAGAAGTGCATATCATACCTTAATTAACTCCCGAGCGAAACAAATGAAACATGCACTATTCCACTCATCCAAAGCTGTTACACGACCACTTCCATCTGGAGAGCATCGCAATTAGCAGCTGCTGCTTCAGGTGAATAATTTCCCCAACGCAGCGCTACTGCAGGGGGCTACGAAATGCAAAACCGAATAATCCCAGTGTATAAAGTTCTTTCCTGCATCACTCTCCTCCCACCGACCGGCAAAAACGCACAATCAGAGAGCAAAAGAGCTCCGGGGAAGTTTGAATAGCGAGAATAAATAAATAAATAAATTGTTGGAATAAAAACAAAATGCGGATCTTCTCTCCACAATGCACATATTCTTGTTTTATGATGGTGTTTGTTTCTACTCAATCCGGCAATAAATCAACCCCGAGGAGGGTGCTCGCCTTTCCGCACTCATATCTGCAAGGCATCGTGGTGCCAAGCAACGATGCCATGTATCCTGATTTTTGTACACGAAAAAAGTTGATACCGTAGAGTTTCTTACAGTCCCAAAAATGAGCTATTTTTTGTAAATTAATTTATTTGTTCAGGCTCAATCTAATAAACTTTACAAAGCCAAGCTATCCTTTGCGTTATATATAATTATTGTCTTAAATCTAAAGCTAAATGAATAGGACCGAAATTGACTATTTGCTGAGCTAAAAACTTGTTATACAGTACCTTACATACGGTATCAAAATAAACAAAGGCGTTCCCAGCTTTTTTCGTGAACAAAATTCAGGATACATGGTATCGCTGGTGAAAAGCCATTGGCATCGGACACCACCAGTTAGTTTGTGTGTTTGTTGCCATTTATTTCGCTACACGCTGCTGCACTTGGAGCATTTTGTTGCAACTTTTGAAACTGGTGTGCACTCCGCAGTGGGTTGATGTTGGGATTTTGTTTGTCCTAAATAATGTTCATAAGCTTTCGAAGCTAAACTACTTTACCGTTGTCTGCTACAGTTGATGCAAATTTGAATAATGATCTAAAACTGGCAGTCAGAATACCACTATTTAGTGGCAAATCTAGCGGAATTTGGACAGAAGTTAGCGAGATTTGCTCTGTAGAATACGTAGATCATATTAAGAGGACTTTAACCAAAAATCCCTAGAAATACAGATGAACTCCCAGGATTCAAGATACTATCTGCATCACTTTAAGCTACGGCGCTGGTGTGGCTTGTAACAATTTTCATACTACCGTACCATAGAGGTAACTCTAAGACCAGAACTTCCCGAAAAAACGAGCTCAACTTTTTGGCTCAGCTCTGGTACTATCTTCGGTCCCAAGATAATAGATGCACCCCTCAAAACATAGGAAAATCCACGAACCCCTCATTTTATCTGTCAAACTTTCATAGCGAATCAAAACAAACATAGTGTAGTACTGGAATTTATTCAAGAATGGAATTACTATGTGGATAGATTACACTCATCGGAGCAAAACCAGTTTACTCATTTTTGACAACTCCATACAGCATGCAAAACTGAGTAGCCTCAAAATAGCGTACGTGTCCTTAGTTTAGTGCATGTCGTATTGCCAATCGATGGAAACTAACGATTTTAAATTGCCTCACTACTTAAATAGCCTATTGGTCCCTAGAAAATCGTTTAACGTACCCCATTCTAGTCGAAATTCTAGTACTATGCAAGTTTGACAGATAAAATGAGGGGTTCGTGGATTTTCCTATATTTCGAGGGGTGAATCGATTAGCTTGGGACCGAAGAGAGTACCAGAGCTGATCCAAAATGTTGAGCACGTTTCTTCAGGACCTTCTGGTCTTAGAGTTACCTCCATGGTATTAGTTGTCATTCTTGCATTTATCGGAAGGATCCGACTTTAATTGAAAGATACCGCTTTTTATACCCTTCGGAGTGTTGAAACACCCTTCAAAGGCGCACCCTTTGGCAGTCAACATTGGTTTCCTTAGCAACAAAAATAAGCAATGACACCGATAATGACTATGCATAAGAACCACACTGAAAAAATTAGAGCAATCTACACGGTAAAAAAACATCATGTTCATGTACAGTAATTTGCTGTTGAATTTGCACTACTTGACAAATATTGCAATTCGATGTGCAAATCCCGTTGTTAATGTGCTGTGCTTTGAACTCGACATGTCAACCATACTGATATTAACAATCTATCACTTAAAGTTTAACTAATTTATGCTTGGATATCATGTTTGCTGAAAATGGTTTTAAATAAATATATTGGCTTCTTCATACTGCAAGCCTTGTTATACGTTATTCAGAATATGACCATAGAACATGTATCATATTACTACCCAGATCACATGTTTCCAAGTGATATTGAACAACATTACAAGTCTTGTTGTAGAAGTAACATTCAGCAATCAATTTGATAAGTTTGACAATGTTTTGTAATAGAGCTTATCTGAATAATACACTATCATTGAATTCAGCAACAATTTTGTAATACTCACGCTCTAGCATGCAAATTATTTCGGGTGAAAATGGAGAATTATCGCTTTCTTGCTTTTTATTAATTTGTGGTCGACTTGCCATCTTCGTGAGCAATGTTTGGCATGTGCGTTTTTGACATTTACTTCCAAAAGCAAAACAAATCAAATTCAATGAATGAAAACAGTGGTGCCAATTCAATCAAATGATAATCTTTTTGATTTAAAGGTGTTATACAGTACAGTACAAATCACTTCGTTTCAAAATGCGAATCACATGAAAATCAATGATAAATCACTTCGATTCGTAGTGCCGCATGACAGACTGAGTCAAGTGCAAGAGCATTTGGATTAGATGTGACAACTTTTTACCGTGTAGAGTTACTCTAAGCAACTCTCTTGCTTTCTGAGCGATTCTTTCTCTCACTTCTAGTGGATTTTTTTCAAAAGGTCTTTTTTTTTCTTGACAACAATTCGAGTTTAAGGTTCGTTGAAATCTTCAGCTGGATATTTAACCTCGTTTGTTTTGAAAGTGATGAACAACAGCAGAAAAGCTATATTTGTTGTTGATTTTAACTGTCTTGAATATTAAAATCCGAATCAAACGTCGCGATACAGAATAATGTTTCCTCATTATCGGAGTCATACTCAGGTTGCAGCTCCAAGCAATCCGGCAAGCGAACAGTAAGATTTTATTATAGAACAAACCAGATAATGGATTGTTATGTAATGGATTGTGGTTTTTTAATCATTTTAATTCCTATCTCGCGTAACATTTTAAAAGACCTACAACCAAAATATAAACAAACCAAAAATGGATTGTAAATAATATGCCTACTTCTATTCCCATACAAGAAAATCTAAGTTTTTTCATAGCATTTCTACAGTTCAGTACACAACACCCAAATATGGTTGACGTGTGCGACAATAAATGATTCGAAAAAAATCTTTGATCGGCCGTTTTGAAAATCGAGTTATTTATAATGACTTTTACCGGATATCCGAAACATTCCTACACCATTGGTAACTAGGTATCAAGCAGTGCTATAGCATAGTATCAAGAACCGGTATGTATACATTTTGATTATAGGTCCTTTCAAATGTTATGCGAGATACGCCTTGTTCTTTATTTTTTTCCGATGCAGATCTGAGCAAATCAGAGTAACTCTGAGTAACTCTCAGCTAAAGAGACATTCGCATTAAAGCCGTCCTCCCCCTTGGTCTTAACCACTTAAAACTAGGGAATAACGAATGGAAGATTAGGAAGCACATAGATGAAGACTAACTATCTAATTTTTTCCTTGTTTCAAGTGGACAAAGCCGAGTCTTGCCACTATTAACAAGGCATTAATAGTGACAAGGACTAAGATGTGTTGTAAGTTTGAAGTAGTCAGGACTAGAAATTGGTGGTAGATCTTACATCCCGTAGCGTACCACAAAAAGGCTCAGGATCAGTTCATCATGGTCGATGAAAAAACAGCCGAAGTAAATTTTCAAAAGCTTAGGATTTTCTTAGTCAACAAGAGCGTCTTGATGATTCCTCAGATGATAAGATTAAGAATGTTGTGCTTTTTGATGTAGGACTACGTCTTTAATTTCAATACTGGGAGTCACAAAAATCCCAAACACGGACGCAACGAAAGAGCGCTAATCGAACACTTGAAACATTGCGCATGCTCAAATGAGTGAGCTCAATGCTTGGTAGACCGCTCACCATTTCACCAATGAAAGGCTTTGCCTTATCGTTTTCTTCGTCATTTGCTTTCGAGCAACGGACGGATAAGCGTCGGACACGTGGAATAGCACTCATCACCAGGCATGAAAAATCATTTACATTCATTTCATGCATTCATTTACATTAATTTGCCTCTAACTTTTTTGATTAAAAGCATTCCACCAAATGTTGTTTAAAGCTTTAGTAGGTTTTGTTATTAGTTACAACTTTTGCTCATAACTTAAATCTGTATCTCTTATGCATCACGAATTAGAGCGGACAGAACTTGTTACTGTTTTTCAGTGAATGTAAAATACATTCACTGAAAAACAGTACACTGAAGTCTTTTTTTACACGGTTTTTTTTACGCGGTTTTTTTTTACACGGTTTTTTTTACACGGTTTTCCACGATTTACACGGTACTTTTTTAACGATTTCTCGACAACGATACAACCTATCGAATTGATTCCAATCACATTATCCGTTTCAAGCTATTTGTAATCGAATGGCATACTTAAAAAAAAATCACAATTTTTGGTGTAAATACAGAAATTTTTAAAATATGTCTATATGGCCCATATCATGCTTTAATTACAAATGGCATCAAAATCCGATTT